GTTTTCCTGAAGGAAGCTCTTGAGCAGAAGCTGGAGAAGGATCGGGAAGAGGAGTTGAGGAGAGCAGCTGTAGTCATCCGGGCCCACGTCTTGGGCTACATGGCAAGGTCAGTGCCGGGGGCTGCCCCACATCCCTGTGCTTGTGTGCCTGGCTTGCCCCGACTCCCCGCTTTGCTCTCAGTCCCCAGGCATCCCTCCCTTCTTCCCCTCCTGCATCCGAAGGGGCCGCTGCGGTATCTGCCCTCCCGGCCGGCATCGCTTCTGCTGAAACCTTTCTGCACTTTCGCCACCTCGGCTTCGATTCTGTGCACGCTTGCACCCTCCCTCGACACTGCTCAGCAGGCTTCTGCAGGGACCTCTGCACCCATCGCTTGCCTCCGAGGACACCTTTTCCTTGTCTTCAGGGCTCCCCTGGCTGGGCCCCACCTGCGCTTTGGGTCCTCTCCTTTTCCTTATGCCTGGCATCTCCGTTTTCTGCTCCCCCTGCTGCAAATCACTTCTTCCTCACTTCCAGCTCTGCCTTAGCTCACCCTCTTCCCTCGGTCTGCCTGTTTGCCTCGTGATCTCCTTTTCCTTTTAATTAACTCTTCAGGATTGTTTTTTGGCCAGCTTTGCACCAGTAATCTCCTCTTGCCACTCCCTTTTGCACCTGACCAGAGGAGGGTTGGGAGAACCAACTGGAGACAAACCACCCCTCCTCTGCCCCTCGAAGCCAGTGTAACAGCTGACTCCTTAATGACTGTGGCATGCACACTTAATCCCAGTAGGATGCTCTTTCCTGGCTGGTCTCTGCTCCAGACACCTGTCAGTTAGGGGTGTGAAGAGGTGAAATCCTTTCCCGGAGGAGCTGTTCCAAGCAGGCACTCTTCTTAGAGCTCCAGTTACGCCAGGTAGCTCATTTTGCATTGGGAAGTGTGTGCAAGGGTTGTAGCCTGCCTTGCCAGTGTGTCATATCAGCAAAACACACATTTGGTCTCGGGGGCTTTTATTCATTTATTTATTTCCCTCTAGGAAGACAAATGAGCGAGCTCTATTGTTTGTACATGAGATTGCGAGTTCTTTGTGTCAAGGCCTCTGCTCTATTTTACTTTGCATCTAGCATTTAGTGAGAGGGGTAGGGATTAGCAGAGGAAAATTGATTTTTTCTGGGACACATCACGGCAGGCAAACTGGATTACTGTTTTTCTGAGTTCTTGGGAAGATAGCTGCTGCCCTGCAGGGCTACGATGGAGACAGTGTTGCAGTAGCGTTCCTCTTGCGTAGAGATTTCGTGGTCCTCCAGTCTCCACAGATCTGAGTTCCTTAGCCCACCTCTTGCTCTTCTGAGTCTCATCTTTAAGAACAAGCTGTGCTTCTGCAGCCCGACTGGAAATCCTCTCAAGCAGCTGGAGGTAACTGAACTTTGCAGGGGCAGGGAGTAAGGAAAGAGCTAAAGGAGGGACACAGGAAAACTTTTCTGAGAAGTCTTTCCAGTTGCACTGCACCTGTTTTGGAGAAAGTCCAGCAAGAGGGGGTGAATTTGGGCAAGTAGGAGTGGTCTGTGCAGATCTGGGCAGAAGTCAGGAGTACCAGTGTGTGCTGCCTTAAGCTTGATACTATTTCTCTAAGTTTTGCTAGGATAAGTGTATTTAAATTCATTTGGTCTCCTGCAAAGTAAACTGGCAAAGAAAGGCACATATGCCACAAGGGAAGATTTCACTGGTTTCTTTGCCTTGGTGAATTTGTTCCATGAGCCTGCAGAACCAATCGTAAGGGCGAGACTGTTTTCTTTGCTGTCATTCTCTTCAGCCTGGTACTTCTGACTGAACACTAAAATGAGAGACAAGAAAATCAAGCCCATTCAAATGACCCCATTTTTCATAGCTGATCTGTGGAACTCTGAGCTTCAGGTAACAAGTTCACCAGCTAAAATACATGTAACTGTTCCTAGGCTTGCAGAATCCATGTACACATTTGGCTGTGTCCCTGAATTCTGCAAGACCTTATTGCTCAGGGGGAGAAGACTGCAGGATATTACTCCATAGCCCTGTGTTCTCTAGTCTTTGGAGGCATAACTACAGCTCATCAACAGAATAATTAACTAAATTCCAAATGCAGCACTGGAGCCTTGCAGCCACCTTGCCTTCTGCTGTGATACACAATCAGGATGTCTCCCAGTTCCTTGGCATGGGCTGCAGGTTGAATTTCTTTGGCCATTGCAAGAGGGTGGCTAACCAAGAGGAATGAAATTCACAGCCTGTGTGCAGCAATTCCAGCTGAAGGGCATCTGCAAGCTTGGCTGCCGTCATGAGGAATGAGGGGGCACTTCAGCCTGGCATATTAGCAGGCAGAGCCAGGCTGTAGCTGGGCAGGGCTTGGCATGGTTTGCACTGGAGAGAGTTTCTGGCAGATGCATTTTGTAGAAGTCAGAGTGCCCTTTTTGATGCACTTATATCTGCCTTGGCAGAGGGTACTTGTGCAGCTGTTCACGCCCCATGTGCAGGACAGAGGGAGAAGGGGTGAGGGGACTGCAGCCCAGGAGCAAGTCACCTAAAAGCTCCTTCTTCTTATCAACTTTTCCCTTTCCTCTTCTTTTCTCTCTACTTCCTCCCTTTGACTTAATACTTACAGAAAAGAGCATGACCTCTGCACACTACCGCTATTAGTATCCCTCTCCTGGTTTTCTTGACTAGGCTGACATATCTGATGTGCAGGGAGGTGGCAAGCTGGCAGCATGGGTCCGTGCTGCTGTTTGAAGGGGGTTTGATTGCCAGGAAGTGGATTATGAGGTGTGTCTTTTCCTCGGTGGATTGCAGAAGGTCTGTGGGAAGGATATGTGATAATACTGTGCTATTTCCAGTGTACTTTCCAAGACTGTAAGACTTGCTGGCCCAAGATCATGTGTAACAGCCCCACAGAGTTTCCCTCTGCAAATTCTGGTTTGGGGTAAAGAAGGTTTTGAGTTGAATAGTACCAATGATTGTTGCCCCACAGGAATTTTTTAAGGTGTGCCAATATATTCAGGAACTTTAAAAATTGCTCACTGATTTCCAGCCTGAGTAGACTTCAGCTTCAGGTCAATTAAATCTTGTTATGTACTCTGATGGATAAGTAGAAATCCCACCCAAAAATGTAAGTACTTTGACTGGCATCAAGTTTTACCTTAGTCTTCTCTTTCTTAAGGTCACGGAGCAAGTACTCTCTTTCTATAAGCCAGAATTTCTGGTTCCAATCCTGCTTCCTCAGAAATCCCTTTAGGGTCCAACATTTTTCTTGAAATCAAGATGCTGACATTGAACACAGGACAAAAGTAAAAGTCCAGTCCCCTTCTATGCAGTATTTCTGCTTGCAAGTGCAAGAATCACAGTAGTATTTTTTTCTATGTCGTTGTGATGGGAATTTGCCCTCACCTGATGGTATCTGTGGAACAGAAATGCTTTTTTGACTTACTGCTTCCTAACATGGTCCCACATCAGGTGTGTTTGGCCTTTGATTCTTCAATACAAGACCTTATGTTTGGCTCTTTTGGATTGTTTAATGTTTGCTTGAATCTAGCTTATAGTTTAGTCCAGATTAAGGTGTAATATTAACTTTTTTGTTATTTGCCTAATATTTGTTTCGTGGACAAATTTCTACCACTGACTTCTTGTTCAAGTCCTTAATTAAAGTAGTCTGTAATGCAGAGGCAGGAACTGACTTTTATAGAACTTCGCTAGATTACAGAAATACTGAACGTTCATTCTTCTGGGGCCACACAATGCTTTTTTGTTTTAAAATGCTGCAGAGTTGATTTTGATATTATTATTGTTTAAACAAAATGCTATGCGATGCGAGTATACGTTTATGGGAGCCTATTACAATGTTACATTCTGCAATCAATATTGTAGTATCATTGTGTTTTCCCCCAAACAATAAGAGGTTAATGTGACCAGATCTATTTTTGCCCTGGTTTTGCTTTAAGGCACTTAAAAGATAGGACAATAAGGGACTTTTTCCTCAAATAGTAAGGCTATTTGTATGTTTTTATTATAGTAAATCCATGCTGAGTGATTTTGTGAATCGCATAGTGAATGGATGTGCTGTGCAAGGAGACTTTGGGCCAGTGGCCCCTCTCTTTCCATGTGCAAAATATCTGACTTTCATCCTCTTGAGGATGTTCACAAAAGCAGGAGCCCACAGAAACAAACCAGCGGTAGATACAGGAATGAGAACAGCAAGGGGAATGTGATTTATGGGTAGTGGCGTCAGAGGAACAGAAATTGTGTCATTTCTGAGCAGTATTTTTCCAAATTTGTTTTTCTATGGATGTGGTAAGATCGGTCAACATACCAGGGCATGAGAACTGCGAAGCATGTGCTATTTCGTGGCGCGTTAAGTGTCTGGTTCTGTTTTTAGGAAGAAGTACCAAAAGGTGCTAGCCAGTGTTGTTATAATCCAAAAGAACTACCGTGCGTACTTCTGGAAGAAGAGCCTGCTGCGACTGAAGGCCTCCGCCATCACTCTGCAGAAGCACTGGCGTGGCCGCCTGGCTCGAGGCCTCTACCAGCACCTGCTGCAGCAGCAGGAAGCGGAGGAGAGAAGGAGGCAAGAAGAGGAAGAACAGCTCAGAAGAGAGGAAGAGGAAAGACAATGGCAAGAAGAGGAGGAGCGTAGGAGGAAACGGGAGGAGGAGGAGGTGAAGGAAAGGTACAGGATGGTGTCTTGCGCTCATAGTTCCCTTGCGCTACAGCTGCTGAGGTGTAAAAGCGGGTCTGGGGCACTGACGTGACGGGGACACTGGAACAGCAATTGCTTGAGACAGTGTCCCAGTGCCAGGGGACAGAGTTGGGATGGGCAGGGGGCAGCTGAGAACAGAAAAGCAGTGTGGACAAGGAGTGTCCTGCTTCCTTTAGGAAAGTGAATTCTGGTATATTTTTACCTCTGTTTAGTGCTTTTCTGCTTGGAATATACACTAAAGGAGGCAGTTTCACTTAGTGGGGAGAGACGCATCATTTTCTAGTTGCCTTTGCAGTGGTAAGGGAAGTTTTATGCAGTCTTCCAGAATCTGGAGGGATTAACAGAGAAAGTACCAGTATAATGGGTCTTGTGTGTCCAGTAAGCTGGGTGAGAGAGCAGAATGGGCAATGCACCTGTGATGCTGCTGCAGCTCTTATACTCACGAGAATACACCTGCTCTCCCTGCTGGGTGTCTCTCATCAGGGATATGGATGTGTCAAGATCAGGAGGGAGGAGGAAGATCTAATATGACCTAAAGAGTCAATCTCTGAGCGGTGATAGTACACCAGCATCATTTACTGTTTGCTCTGTGGTTGCCTACATCCTATCCAAACTGGGTGTCTCTCTTGATAATCTTTTGTTTTAAGAAGTGTAAAACTTCAACTACAAGATTATTATATGTTTGAACAAATAATCCTATGACATATTAAGTTTTTCATAACTAGTTGGTTATGTTTCTTTGTGTTACATATTTGTCCCAAAGTTGGATCTTGGCAGACTAAGATGTGTGACAAGCATCAGAAGATTCTAAACTTAGAAGCATGTCACAAGGAAGAGAGATTGCCTGAGTTTTCACTGGAGACAGTAGGGTGATGTATCTGGTGGGACAAGCCATTGAGTCTGTGACAGTGAACGGTTCAGTCAAAGAATCTGTTGAACAACACTGAAGGCTCCATTTTATCAACATGTCTATTTTCAACAGCAGCCTCATCAGCAATATGAAGCTGTGCAAATGTCAATAACTAGTTTGCTGGTATCAAATGCTACAGACACTTTCTTAGGTCTGAAGTCCTCATTGTACTATAAGTAGAACTTGTCCTGATGTAGTTTTAGGAAAGAGGATCTGTTTAGTTTATTGGCTCTGCTCTGTTTCTGCCCCTGCACTTTAGTTCCCAGCCCATGAAAGGGGTGTTGGACTCAGCATTGTTGTAAAGAAGTGTCAGTGTTTCTAGGAATCAGTGGCTTATTTTGCTTTCATTTTCTGCTTGATGTCAAATGGCTTCATTCAGAGTGAGTAGTCAAAAAGGCAATAGCAGACCAACTTGTCTAAATCTTGAACTTCCATTTGACTTCAAAAATGAGGTGGAAGTCGACAGAAGTTTCAAATCAGTTACTCTACAAGTTATGAACAAGTAAAAAAAAACAATACACATACAGAGACAAAATTAGAAGGACCAAGCTGCAACCTGAGCTTATAACAAACTAAATGTTGGCATGCAGTTATTGTCCATGTGCATACACTGTTAGTAAAAAGGGGACATGGTGCAATTTAGTCTACTGTTCAACAGGAGGAGTAAATTATAATGTTGGGAAAGCTAAGGTATTTGGTGCCATTTTTAATTGTCCTCCCCAAAAAGCTTAACTGTTGGACACTAAATACAGTTAGTACAGAGGTGCAATGAATTTAGAAACTAGCAGGAAAGTAGAAGGTTAAAGAATGCTCAGGTAAATCCTGTTACAAAGAATTCATCCAGACTTGGTGAAATTAATGTTTGGGTACTTGGAGAACTGTCTGAAGCAGTTTGAATCACTGTCTATTCTCTTTCTACTCCTATGTAGATAGCAACAGAGTTTCCATAAAACTGGAAAATTCCAAATATAATGACCCCTTTTTAAAAATGGGAAAAGGAAGAATGAGGGACTTGTGTACCAGTCAGCCTAACTTCAATTTCAGGAAGATAAGGCAGCAAATAATCAAACAGTTGTAAATGCTTGGTAAAGGAGTTAAGAGCCAGCGTGGATTTCTGAAAAACAAACAGCATTAAAGTTACTTGTTTCCTTCTGTGTTCGCTTATGACATGCCTTGTGGATAGGGAAGAGCCTTAGAGGGTAGGTAACTTGACTGTGGGTAGGTAGAGGGTAGATAAGAGCTTTGACATGTTATGACAGTACTCTAAAACTCTATAAGGTATGTGGTTTGGAAAAAAAGTACCTGAAGCAAGACTAGGATTTGTGTTCTTACTGCATTATATTCTTGCATTTTAATTAGTAAACAATTGTAGTTTTTTTGCTAAATAGGAGAGAAGTCTTTGCTGGATATGGCACTAGTGAAATGTTTTCATAGTAAGTTAGGTGAGGAAATACAATATCCTTACTAAATTTGCAGATAAAACCATCTGGTGAGGGACTAAGTATATAGGTAGACAGGATTACGATTCAAATAATTTTGGCAAATTAGAGAAATGATCCGGAAAACATAGGATAACTTTCTATACAGACATCTGCAGATCTACAGTTAGGAATAATCAAATGCACAAAGAGAGAAGGAGGAATCCCTACTTCAACAGCAGGGAGAAGATCTGGAGGCTGAGTATTAGTCACCAGTGTCACGCTGTGTGAGAGGAGAAAGCAAATGCTGTCTGTAAACAGGATTGTTTCTCTAAGATGTGGGGGTGATTATTCTGTTCGGTTTGGCCCTGGTTGGCCTAAGTTGGCCTGTATACCCTAGTTTGGGGTATCACATTTCATGAAGAGTGTGGATCAGTTGGAGATGGATGGAAAGCAGCAAGTAATACCAGAGGTCTCTAAAAATGTGAAGAACAGTTGTAGGAATTAGTGTGTACATTTTAGATGGTATTTCTGTTTTGTTTTGCTTTTAAATAGCTTTGCTTTTTGAACTCTCTTATCATTTAAGGCAGTTGTTTTAACTCATGACTACTGTTAGGGATCTTTCAGTAGATTTGGAACCATCTGGATCTTGCCTATGTCAGCTTTCATTTATAACCATTTCCTGCTTTTTTTTTTTTTTGAGAGAGAGAGCAAGAGTAAGAGCTTTAAGGACTTTGTGACTGCAGTTTAAAGCTGTAGTTGAGAATTTGTCTTGGAAAAGGTGCAGAGCCTGGGAAACAAATATTGTTGCCCTCCTGTTCTGCTTGGGGTTGAATTGTAGATTTTAAAGTTATGACTGCCATTCTGAATTTAGCTGCACAGTGGTTGTTACAGGCAGGCTCTTCCATCCAGCTACAGCCTATGCAGAACCCTGGCCTTTGTCTGTTTACTAGTTCAGTTGCTTCTAGCATGTTCTCTATGGACAAGCTGGCCTTACTGACAGCTTTCCCTTGGAGTACAACCCTTTTGATCTGTGTGGAGATGCAGCACCCGTGGGATAGATTTTTTCCTCTACTCATGTTTACTAACAAACTTTGAGTCTTGCAGCCTTTGCTAGTAAACGAGGGTTTGCTTGCCAATGAGAAATTATGCAAGCTGGAACATCCAAATCTTAAGAATAGAAAGTCCTCAACGTAGTCATTTAATAAAGTAAAACAATTTAATAAATTTGGGGGGCTTTAATACAGTAAGAGCAAAACAAAACATAAGTGCAATGCTAGTATTGTAACAATTCTATTTTAAAAAGCTAAACAGCTTCCTGATATCTGTCAGTTAGGGATGTACAACTTCACTTAATATCCACAGATGTATAGTACTTCAGAAGATTCTATTTACATTAATTATGAGTAACTGATCTGTCTGTCATTGCTTCCAACGTCCTTCCTAGTGTGTTCCAGCTTATCCAATTTCCTGATTGATCTGAAAGTTAAGTGCGTGCAAAAAATCTGTTGTATCCACAAAGGTCTTGCCAACCACGGAGTATTTGATTTTTAATAAATTACAAAAGCTTCTAAGTCAGTCCTGCAACAGGTACTTTATTTTAACCTTGCCCATGGAGGAATGATGTGTCCATGAAATTCTGAAAGTTCTTCTCACATAGGAGAACTGGATCTGTCTCTGACTGTGATGTCTTGGTTTTTAACAGAGAAAAGGAGCAACTGAATGTGCCATACCAGGTGTCACAGGTAAGTTTAACAGTTATTCTTTTCATATGCCTTCTTGTGAATATCTGTGGGGGGTCCTTAATTGCCTAGGCTTCACCTGGAGCTAGTATTGCTATTGTGGCAACACTATTTAAAAAATGGGCTTTGTTCACTCAAAACCTGCAGATGTTTGGCTTTGGCAGAGGTGCGTAGAGTTAACAAGGTAAGGGTTTTTTCAAGGCTCGTGTACCAGCTTGTGTAGCTTTTACTTGAAAATTTCTGTACTGAACATCCAGCATCCTTTCTACTGTTTCATCTCTACTGTTTCAGCTTATTACATGACCTTGTGATTTGCCACACTGTACCAGCCTGTTTTGCTGGATTGTTGCCCATAGCAGTCAAGAGTGCAGCCGGCTTCTACCATGGCTAAAATAATCCTCTTGTAACTGATCTAATTGTTGGTACTTGATATATCAAAGAGCAGACCACCTACCCTGAGGTGTGTGAAAACAGCTGTGTGTCTTCTTATTTCTTTTCCCAAACCATTTGTTCCCCATTTCAGACTGGCTCTCCAAGAGAGATGACAGATCAGAGTGTAGAAATGCATTTGTCCACAAGTAAGACTCAGGTAGAGAACAAGCAAGAGGGTAACTGTAAAGAAACCAAAGATTTGACTTATATGGCCCAACTAATTGGCTACATTGTCATACTCCTATCAGGAAGTACATTAAATCCTTCTGGCATTTGGTTTTGCTTTTTCTTGTGTGTGTGTATGTTTTCAGCATCCTCCATGGAGGAGAGGGTGGCTTTATCTTATAGCTAAACAATCAGTGAAAGCTACCAGTATGTTCCATCTTCTAATTATTGTGTACTTGCTGGAAATTTCCTGTTACTTCAGTGCGAAGAATAGAGGAAGATAGAGTCTTCAGCAGCCAGCCATCATCCATCCAGTGATGCCAAAGAATGCCAAGACATTCTGGGTGGAGTTTTGGTGGGGTGGGGTTGGAATGGATACAGTCCCACTTCCTTGCAAATATCCCTTCCAGTCCTAGATTCTGATGATCAGACTCCCAACTCAGGAAGCAACGAAATCCCCAAATCTTTTAATTAATTTCTAGGAAGTCTTCAGCTCTTAAACAGGCTATGCATATATGTATTCATATATAGTTGATTTCTCCTATATGTGTTTTGAACTATCTACAAGATATTACAAGATAGTTCAGAAAGAGAGGACGGCATTTCAGAATACTTTTATCCAAAATGTCACGTATAAAGGGCTGTAACAGGAGCAGGAGAAAGAGAAGCTCTTCTAAAAATTCACTGACCCCAGTGAACTTCTTTCTATGATTCAGAAAGGAGGAAAGCTGCTGGAAAAAAAGGACGTACCTGAAGATCCAGTAGTTCTACCTTTAGCTTATACACTTTGGATGATTGTAGGATGCTTAGAGTCATCTTTTTGCAGATGGGAAGTATAAAGCAAGCACAGGAGATAGGAGGAATGAAAGGTCCAGGCAAGGAACACATATGTGTTGAAGAAACTGCTTTAACACTATTAATTTTTTTTTTAAAGGTGGAAGCAGTAAAGACTGAGGAGGTAGATATTCCTCTGCAAGAAGAAGAGAGACGTCAGATGGAGGAGATCTTAAGACTGGAGAAGGAGATTGAGAAGTTGCAGCAACAGAAAGAGGATCACATGTCGATCATCTGTGAAAACACCAGGAATGAAATCAATCGGCAGCGAGAAGAAGAGATCCAGAGGCTGGAAAAGGAGGCATCCAGGGTTGCCCAGGAGTTCTTAGAGCTGCTGGATTTTGGCAATCTGGATGAAAGTGTGCAGAACTTAGAGCGGTCGCTTTCTAGTGAGGGGACACTCAACATTGACTGCAGCCTGGTGGCACCACTGGCTGAAGAAGAAGTGGATGAGGGTTTTCATGCTGATGATGAAGGACGGCCAAATTCAAGTTTGGTGGTCTTAAATCAGCACAGCACAGGAAACAGCGATAACTACTCGGAGGAAGTTGTGAACACAAGCCTTTCACTCCTCCAAAGGGAACTGGGAGAGGTCTCCCCTGCTCCAGAACAACTTGTGGAAAGAAACACTATCCCTAAGGAGCAGAGAGCCCTATCTGACCCAGCAGAAAGTATTTACAGCAGTGACTCAGATAAGCGAAGAAGTAACAGTGGGGAGGTGGCAGAACCGATTTACACTTCGCCCCCAGATGTGGAGTCTGACTATGACCATGAGGAGTTTGATGGCTGTGGAGATGCAGGTAGTGCCTCAGCTGAGCCTCTGAATGGTGAGGAAGGTCTGAGATGCTCCCATGGTACCAGCCTGGACTCCAACCATGGCAGCCTGGACTCGGTAAGAATCCCTCCCTTCATCTTTCTGGATGTTAATGTGACTTTGTTGATATTTATAGTATCCTTGCCTTCTTACAGTATGCCTGCTTGGGCTGGGTGGTGTTACCAATATGTAACTCTTTCTTACATTGAAAATCAGCTTGAATAAAAGGGAAGAGTCATAGATAAGCTGGAGACCAGAGGGCTTGTGACTGTCAAGTATCTACTGGTACCCAGGCTAGCACGTATATACCTAGGCTATTTTAAATTATTTCCATTGCCATACATTAACATAACACCCTTTAGGAAGGCTGAAAGCAGGCATCTAGTGTCTTGTAGGTATATGTTCTACCTCAGAGAGGCTTCACAGAAGTAGCCTGAGCTTCCATTGGACAATCACAAGAAGAAATGGGAAAGGCTGGGGTTTAGTTTGTTTCCTTCACTAAAACTTCTCTTTTTCTAGTCCTGTTACTGTTCAGAGTCAAGGGTTTATTTTCAGCCGCTCATTACAAGTTAAGCTATTGTAAGGCTAGAAGAAATTATGGTGCACACAACCATGACCACTCAGCCTTTCCATTCCCACCACAGGGACAATGACAGGGTAGTAAAGCTAGGCTTACTAGCCTTGCACTTGAAGCATCTCAGCTTAGATCGCACACTAGGCTGTGTACTTCCTGGATACCCTCAGGCAAGTTGCTTAACAGTGCAATGATAAATCATTACAGAACAGGATGTCAGATAAGCCCATATAAGACTGTGAGGAGTTCAGGTGTGAAGCCAATGATAGCCATAAAAATACTTCAGATAAATTATATCCCTGAAAATAGAGACTTGAACTACAAAATATCTTTTAGAAAATGAATTGGTTTTTTCTAAGAATTCTGTTTACTTCCTTTGCTATTCTTTTCCAATGGCAGATTGTGACCCTTCTTAAAATGTTGCATAATTTTTCCTGTTTGCCTTTCCCTAATGTCGGCTGCCAGCCATCAGAATGTTTTAGGATGTGATATGCTTGAGTAAAGGTACCTTCTCTGTGGGCAGGCACTCACAGATAACTGTCAGGTAATCTTCGAATCACGAATCATTCTGTCACAGCCTAGGCCATTCTTCTTAAAATGTAAATAGAAGTGGAGGGGTTTACTGGCCTCCTCAGTGAGTAAGAGTCATGAGAAATGAGCCACAGGAAGAGATCTGCAGCTGGGTCAAGATCCCATCAGTGGCTGCTGGTTCAAGAGTACTTGGTTTTTGAAAACTAATGACAAGAGGGAGAATGAATGAGTGGAACAGTAATGAGACAAAAGAGCACAAAGGGGTCACAGAGAAAAAAAAAACAAGCAACATGCCTTCAAGGAAGGAGAAGGCCTAAGGAGCTGCCTTCATTAGTATTACATTAATAAAGCAAATCAAAGGAACTTGTGTTTAAGGTAAAGGAAACGATGGGATGACTTGGGATTTCATGTGTGATGTACTTTCTTATAGCTGGGGGCCATTATGTAGTTGGAGAACAGGGATGAATAAATAGTGTACTAGTCTTTCAGTGGTCTAGATCTTTATTATTAGGGTTCAGTTATCCTGGGCCGTGCTTTTTTTACCTAGTCAACGTAAAGCAAGGCATTTCTTTGCTGGGGTTAGATCTCTGGTTTGTTCAGCCAGCATCCTGGCCTGTCTGGTAGAAAATTTAGAACACTTCTCCAAAATGAAAAATTCTCTTTTAAACCCATTAAATTAGTTTTTTTGGACTGTGGGCTCTGTTTTGGAACAGAAAAGTTTGTTACTGCAAGTAACTGGAGTTTTCTAGGTATGTCCACTGCTGAATGTCACTCTCCTTTCTGCTGTGAAAATTCCATGCTCTTGCTCTAGGCATTAATGAGTAAGCTGTCAAGCCTCTAGTTTTACTGTATTGCTTTTTTTTGTGAAGGGTATACGTGTAGTTTTGCACATTCTGATCATGTGACTTCTCTAGCCTTGCTAATTTGCTCCAGTCCTCCTGTGACCAAGGGAACCTGCGTGGCCTGTATTTCTCCTTTTCCTTCTAGTTTCTGGACAGTGAAGAAGAAGTAGATGTCTACATTGATACAGACGAAGAGTTTTGTAATGGACGAGTCACTATCTTCAATGGCTCAGGACCACCCTATTTTCACAGCTATCTCTACATGAAAGGTAAGTGGCTTTAGCCAAAACCATGGAAGGATGGAATCCAGGACACCTGCTTTTATCTTCTGTTTCTCCAGAATCATCTTTGTCTGCTTTTAGTTCTCTCTTTACTCTTTTTTTCTCTTCTTTTTCTTTTATTTAAATCAAGCAAATAACCCAAAGAGCTAAGAGGTGGATGTCAGGGAATTAGACTGAATATCTTTGCCACTGAGACCTAATTGTGCCCACTTGGTATGGGCTTAAGTGACTCGCTCTGAGCTACAAAACTGAAGACAGTACGAAAATACCTGAGTAGTGCATATATTTCTGTATTTTGTTTTTATTTCACAAATGGTTTGTTCTGGTTTTAATTTGTTCAAACTTAAACATAACTTTGTTTCTCCCCTTCAGCTCCTTTGCTTCTTGTAGGAACTGAAGGGGCAACTAAGTGCCCATGAAGTACGATTGGAATGGAAACACGGCCCTGGTTGTGCGTCTGATGAAATCTTGTTCCCTTGCTTTGCAGGAGGTCTCATGAACCCATGGAGGCGGCGCTGGTGTGTTCTGAAGAACGAGGCCTTTATGTGGTTCCGCACCAAGCAAGAGGCTCTGAAGTCAGGCTGGCTCTACAAAAAAGGTGGAGGCATGTCAACGCTTTCACGTCGCAACTGGAAACGCCGTTGGTTTGTGCTTCGAGAATCCAAGCTGATGTACTTTGAGAATGATAGCGAGGAAAAGCTAAAGGGGACAATTGATATCAGAAAGGCAAAGTGAGTGAAGAAATAAGTCCTTTTGTTCCCTAGTATTCACTCTCTGGGTCAGTAATGAAGTGTCCAGTGCTGCCAGTTGGTGAGCCTATCGGTCTCCCATAGGGCAAGAAGAATCAGAAACAGAAGGGAAGGAAAAGACAATTGGAACTTGTAGTTTCACTCTGGAGGGGGTCTGGAATTACTTTACAGTTCTTTTTCCAGTCTTGCATTTCATAATCCGGCAGAAGCTCTTTCCAAGCCATAGATGGAGCCAGACCAGGAGGGGCTAATTGGGTACATACCCCATGCATTCTTCCCTACCCTGACTTCCATCTGTTTCCTGGCTTCTCTCATAATTTCACAGAGGTGGTATGAAGCTCACAGCAGGATTTGGATTTGGCAGCATTTACTATGCCTTTTCCCGAGTCTCCTGAATGATCTTTTTGCTGCCATAGCCAATTCCTCAGCTCCTGCTGTAAGAAAGGAGACACTAGTCACCTGTTAGCATTATGTGGACCTATAAAGTGCCAAAAAGAGTGGTACATCCCACTTTGTAAAGGATCCTCTGTATCAACATCCCTGTTATCTCGTCTTCCATCTAGCCTGCTGGTGTCTTGAAGAAAATGTTAACACCTTAAGCTTTGTTTTTGTCATAGATTAACTATAGAAATCTTTTTAAGGGGACCCTAAAAGTTTTAATGTGTATTGGAGGAATTTTGTATTTCTGTCAGAGTTACAAGCCATCTGATTTCCCTTCTGTATCATGAATGGCATGATGTGAAAAAAATTGTGATTTGCTGTGTTCCAGGGAGATTGTGGACATTCATGAAAAGGAAAATGCCTTGGACGTCGTGACAGAAGACAGAGTTTATCACATAGTCGCAGAGTCACCAGAAGATGCCAGGTATAGCAGGGAGTTTTGTTAGGCTTCTTCATTCAGTGCAAGTTTGGCCCACCCACCCATGGGAGAGCCTGGAAAACATGATTATTTAACACTTGCTGGAGAAAAGAGAGGATTCATTCCAGAGTGTCATTTTATGCTTACTGGGAGGTATCACACCTACTTTGGGGACTCTCTGTTGCAGCTACAGAGGTCATGATTCAGCCTATTAATCACTCACAGGACTGCCACCTTCTTCTGTGGCTGTGAGCATGCTGAATTTAAGGGTTACTTCAGGAGACACAAAAAAACCTTAATATAAACTGGAACATCTAATAGCTGATTTATTTATTAAATGGAATCTTGAATCAAACAAAAAGTCTATTCATGTTGTCTGTAAATGATTGCGAGAGCAGCTGGGTTTTGTCCAGGAGACAGAGAAAAGGCTGCAGCTTATCAGAGTCTGTAGTGTCGTCTGATAAAATCTTCCCAGTGCAGAGCAAACAAATGACTCATGTCCTTCCTTCTTGGTGTCCTGGCCAGGCAGTGGAAATCAGTTGTTTAAGGGCAGGTTGGACAACCTGTTCTGGCTATGCAAAGCCAAGCTAATAGCTGCTCGTGTCTTCCCATTTTTCATACTCTTACCAAGGCTTCTGCTCTCTCAGCCCAGCCAGTGTAACTGATTCTCTGATCCATTTGATCTGAATCGGTGAAGTTATTTAAAGTCTGTTACTCCATTTGGATGTAGGGAGAGGAAGGGGGAAGGTACTTGGACACAAATTAACAGAAATAGACTAAAGAACAGCCACATGAAATAAAACCAGACAAATTCAAGGGGCAGTAGCTGAAGAAACACTAACGTCTTAACCCAGAACTTATATAATTGGGATAGGCATGCCCTAAGATAACATTGCAGAATTGCTAGGACCAGTGTAAACTAAATGTGGCCTCTGTCGATGCCATATCAGTCTCTGTTCTGAGGGAGAAGAAAGCACCAACACTTGTACTAGCAAAGGGCGGATTAGCAGCCGTTGTAGAGTGTCCAATTTGAGAATCCTCCATGAAGTCTAGATGCTTGCTGATCTCACTGGAAGTTGCAGATAAGCATCTGCTTGTTCTGCAGCAGAAATTAGCCTCCAGATATGTCTGTAACAAGAAGCCCTTTCACAGACAAATAACTCCGGATTAACTTATAAGAAAAAACATGATTAATTGACAGCCATATGACTTTAAAGTTTATGAGCAGATTAGAGAGATACTAGGCAAAAAGGCTCCCAGACATCCAGGAAGATTCTCAACTGGCCCTGTCTTTGCAATTGCTGTATGCTCCTCTTAGCCTGCTGACAAATGCTCCCGGTAAGGCTGCTGCCTGCTTATAGTTTCTTGAACAGCAAGTGGAAAACTGGATTTTGCAGGAGCAGCTGTCAGTGAGTTGGAGAACGTGCACAGAATTTTCATGGGTAGTCAGGGGGAAGGAAGACATTGCAATCTGGTATGGTCAGCCCAGAAGATACTTTGTAGCATAGTCCTCAGGAAATGTGAATGAAGACATTTTCCAACTGGCAGCTTTCCAGGTTCCTTGAGCATAGTATGGAGTTAGTTTCACTCCTTGAACCTTAACTTTGAGTCTGTTTGGATTGCCAGCGGCTGGTTCAACGTCCTGAGCCGAGTACACAGCGCGACGGCGCAGCAGCTGAGGGAGATGCAGGACGAACAGGCCAATCCAAAGAATGCTGTGGTGAGTTACTGTGCATGCTCATGGGCATGCCTACAGCCCTCTGTGTTTAACTGTTCTGTGCATGTTTTTTCTAGCACATGCAGTGCTGTAGTTCGTGAGCAGTATAAGAAAGTTGGGCAATTGTTATAAAAAAAACCAGCAAAGCTGATAAAAAAGAGGGTAAGCAGTAGGAAACATGGTGGTTGTGGTGGGTGTCTGAGCTTGATCACCAACACCTCTTTGGTTTGAAGGGAAGAGGGTGGCTACTTCATGCAGATAAAATGTCTTGGGCTGGGATTATGGGACTAGTCTGGATCACGGTTATTCCAGACAGAAAACGCACAGTTGATAAGAACAATGTGTTTATGTATTTTGCCAGTACTGAGATAGGTTATTTTAGACCTTCATAATACTGTCTGGAAATTTGTAGCTCTTTGTCCTCCAGTCCTGTAGAGCCCTTTCATGTCTTACGCTATTTAGGGAGTGAAGATGACTCACGTGTGTCATATGTTCTTTTCTACTCAAGCTATTGGAATTCAGAATAATGTTTTCAGTTCCAATCCTGTTCACAAAGGAAAACATGTGTCATTTAAGATGCAAGCAATTCCTGTTTTCTGTCTTTCTCACTGTACAGGGCACCCTGGATGTTGGACTTATTGACTCTGTCTGTGCCTCAGACAATCCTGATAGGTAGGTACAGTAACCTGACCATCTCCTAGATCAGAAGCTCTCTAACATATTCTTGTGAGTAGGTACAGGTTTTCTTTGGGGTTTGCATTTGTTTAAACTTAAGAATTTATCTCCAAACAAAGAAACAGAAATGAAGTCTTTAGCATGATCTAGCTATGTTCTTTCACAGGCATGTAGTTCACACCTTTTCTTTAAGTCAAAGTTTCTCCTTTAAGTGGAAACAGCATAACTCAATGTCAAGCAGTTGTAGTCTTGTTAGTGACACTGAACAAAAATGTCCAGCAGACACACCACTTTCTGCTTTTTCAGCAGTAATTTTGAGTTAATCTTGTAAATTTAGGGGAAAAAAACAGCATTGTGGAAGAATAATGGATAAATTTAGAAATCTCTGCTCCTCTTGAAATCTTTGCAGTGCAACAGAGCACAGACCTTTAGTTCACAGATTGGTTAGTTTCAGACAAGAGATTACCAGACATTTCGTATAACTCTACATTAACATTTAATTATTTCTCACAGTGTTAACAGGTTCAGCCAGGGCAAAGATTCTTACTACAGTGCTGAGGTAAAATGTTAGCTATTAAGTTACTTACTTCTGTGGTCTGTGTGGGTTTTTTTTTCTCACATACATTGCCAGGACTTTGGTTTAGAAAATGCTTATCTCGGGAGTGAACTAAGATTTCATTGATCAAAATGTTGTAGCCATTTCTCAGCTGGGGCTCCTCATAGTTATCTGTGTATCAGTAAAATACCAGGCACAAATAGTAAGCTGAACAGTCAAAATTTATTCATGATTCTGCTGAGGTACATTCTTCTGGGCTATCAACGTTTAAATCAATGTTAAACAAATTGTGAGGAGAATGCTTCTTTTTCAGCCAAGGTTTTTATGCAGTGTATTTTTATCTTCTGTTGGCTTATGTAAGGGCCAAACAGTTGTGTGATTTGCACCTTTTACCTTTTTCTTCATAGTGGCACTGTACTTCTCAATATCTCTTTCTCATACAAATCCATGTTTGCTTTCAAAGCATTCTGAGTCTATCCTCTTAGAACTGTTTTGTTTTTTTTTTTTTAACTTTCGTTTTCCTCTAAATCATCAGTTCTGTGCAGAATTGTGAGTATTCTTTTGGTAGGACACATTTGTCTCTTGCAAGAGAAGGATAAAGTAATCTCGGAGCAAATTTTTCCTGTTTTGTCAGGATCAGTTCATCCTTTATAAAACCAACCTCAAACACATTTTAGCTGACCCTGCTGGGACCTGCAGTTGCTACTGCACCATTGTTTTTAATAAGTACAAGGTGAATGGCTGTACTAACTCAGCCTAGTGCTACTAGCACTAGCTCAGTCCATCAAAAGAACAAAGAACAAAGTCCTTTGCTTATGAACCAAGGACATTCTACAGCTGGTAATTAGGTAACTCATGTTTTCTAGTTTTTGAAAATAGCTTTTGACAGATGTTTAATTCCGTTTATCTAGTCTTTGCATTTATCAGTTTGCAGACCAGCTGCACAGGAGTGTAGCTCCTTAAGTGTTTCTGCTTTTCTCTGTAGCTTGTATTCAGAGAATCTGCGTTGTTTATGGGAAGGTAGAGGACATGGCTCTGGGTGCACTGAGTGGAGATATTTGCATGGTTACGACCAATTTTAATGCTTTTATTTCCTGGCAGACCAAATTCTTTTGTGATCATCACAGCAAATCGAGTGATTCATTGCAACAGTGACACCCCTGAGGAGATGCATCACTGGATCTCCCTGCTGCAGAAACCAAAAGGCGAATCGAAGGTTGATGGCCAGGAATTCCTTGTGAGAGGTAAAAGGGAATGTGTGAGTTACCACATGTGAATCTCTCTCATCTTCCGTTTATGATCTGCGGGGGAGGTTCCAGTCTGGAGTTCAGTGGCTCCTCTACCTGCTTCCTACCTGCTCCTTCCTACCTGCTACCTGCCTACCTGCTGCTTGCCATATCCTGTGCTGGAATTGCCTCTTATCTGATACCCTGTTAGATGGATTCAGAAAGCTAAAGCTGTACAAAAATTTGTACTTCTTTATACATGTAGTTTTCTGATACTCGCTTGTAGCCTATTTCAAAATGTCCAGCAAATGCTGTCAGGGAATAGGAGGGAGCGTGGCTGCTGTTCGGGAGCAGCTGGCTTGGACTGACTATAATGTGACACTGCAGCTTTTGTTTTCAGAAATCTCTGTTCTTTCTGACACCTGTCATGTAGAGCGGCAAGGAGAGACATCTTTGTGGGATTGCTGCTAAACAAACCAACCTAGTTATGGTAGGCATGGTGAGGTGAGAATAATTCTCTGAGGATGAGCAAAAGATTTCAATTATGTCTCTAGTTAGAGACGGTGGTTGGAGATGAAGGAGCTGATGCATGAGTAGTTATCTCACACAAATTACAAAATAGTCCCCCATTTCTCTCTAATATTTTAAAATTTCCTTAGTACTTTCAGCTTATCACGTAGTCTTAAATGTATGAAGACACTCCTGATCCAGTCTGCGTAAAGCAAGTGCATGATCAAATTGCCTTACAATTTCCAGAAAGTAATCGAGGGAATAAAGGTCTGAGACTGCTCGTAGCAAGACAGAAGGACAGGAAAAAAAGACTTGCCAAAAAGTACTGTACACCTTCCATCCTAGTCTTAAACATTTCAAGGAGATTGAATGATATAAAGCAGATTATCAGACAACAGTTTGAGTACCATAAATTGAAAATACTTAATTGCAAGGTAACGGTTCCATTTATCTCATGTTGTTCATTAGTTAAAAAAAGGAATGCTGCTTTGCAAAGCCACTGTATGCTCTGCACTTCACTGTAAGGTGTCTGTGTGACCATGGTGTGGCCATGAAGGCAATGTATTTGGGAAGGTCTGTCTCTTTATCTTTTCTTTATACGGAACCTCTGGTAGGTCCCAACATGAGCCCAACATGAGGCTTTTTCAGAGGACCATAGTTCTGGTCCCAGAGTTAAAGAGTCATCAGGCAAGAGACAGGATTGTTGTTGTGGTGAAACCATTAACATGGTTGTGTTCCTGTGCTAGGCTGGCTTCATAAAGAGGTTCAGAGCAGCAACAAGATGTCCTCTCTGAAGATGAAGAAGCGTTGGTTTGTTCTGACAAACACTGCCCTCGATTACTACAAGTCGTCTGAGCGCACAGCTGCCAAGCTTGGCACACTTGTGCTCAATAGCCTCTGTTCTGTCGTGCAGCCCGATGAAAGGGTCTTCAAAGACACAGGTAAGAAGAAGAAAGTGGTAATGAGCAGACTTCTCCTGTGTGGAATTGCCTGAGGAGGGGACGGTGCAGGGGTGTAATGGTGTGTCATGCTGAGAAGGTAGTCTTGGTGCTATCTGAGGCTCTGTGTCTGGCTGCAGACATCCTTCCCCACAGAAACTGTAAGAGACTTGCAAAGGGCCAGAGAGTAGAGTGCATGCCAGCGATGGTAAGTCCCACACACCTGATGGAGACACACAGCGCTGATGTTTTTTCACTGGCTAGTGTCCCCGTTTAAGTGTTTGCCTAATAGGGAAGAGTGTATGAGTTCTTAAAGCTAAAACTGTCATTATCAGCACATCTCCAGAAATAACTGTCACTTTGTAGCATGACCTACATTTGTCTGCGAGGTCGAAGTTATTCTCCTAAATAACATCAGTGGCATACACTGTAAGTCTTTTTTGTAGCATCGCTCAACTTTTAGAAACAAAAGATGACAAGGGGCAACATGTGCCTTCTGTGCAGTGTGACACGTTTCTGGGAAGGCAGGACCTGGCATGATCCTCCCTTGCTTGCCTTACGAGTTTTGGAGGGAACTCAGGATATGGGGTGAAGGGTGAATCCCCCTGACAAAGAAGACGAACCTTAGAACAAGACTTGAAACACTGGACATTTGGGTAGTGGAGTTTCTTGGGATATTTTTAAAAAGGGCTGGAAGCTGGAAGCATTTAGTAGAGTGAGATGAGAGGAAATGTATTCTGCTCGCTCACAGGAAATTGTCCATGTTTTTCAACTGAACAGATACCTAGGCTAGCAGAGTGAATTGGCATCACTCTGATGTGTTCTCTCAATTTATGTCAAACACAATATTTTTAAAAGTCATGAGAAATGGTTTGGCAATCTGACTGGGTGCTGTGTGTCGAGTGGCCTTTTTCTGAGCAATTAATAGCACCGTGTAGCCCAAATGCTGTCTGTGAAAGTGAGCTGCCTGGTTGGCAGGAAAATATTCATATTATGCTGCAAGATACTTGTGTCTTGGAAGGCTTTCTTTGCACCAGAATCTGGATTGGGACTTTCTTACTGGTACATATCTTTTGGGAATGGGGGAGCTTGATGTCTACCTAGTCAATTTTAACCAGACATGCCATATGTTGCTATCAAAGCAACAGACAAAAAGACAATCATAGAATCACTTAGGTTTGAAAAGACCTCTAAGGTTATCAAATCCAACTGTTAACACTACCAAGTCCACCACTAAAACAAGTCCCTAAGCATCACATCTGCACATCTCTTAAATACTTCCAGGGATGGTGACTCCACCACTTCCCTGGACAGCCTGTTCCAGTGCTTTACAATCCTTTAGGAGAAGAAAATTTTTGTAGTGTCCCATCTAAACCTTCCCTGGTGCACCTTGAGGCAATTTTGTCTTGTCCTATCACTTGTTACTTGAGAGAAGAGGTTGACCCCCCACCTCACTACAACCTGCATCCTTGCAGGTAGTTGTAGAGTGATTAAGGTCTCCCCTGAGCCTCCTCTCCTCTAGGCTAAACAACCCCACATCCCTCAGCTACTCCTCATTAAGACTTGTTCTCTAGATCCTTCACCAGCTTTGTCACCCTTCTTTGGGTACACTCCAGCCCCTCAATATCCTTCTTGTAGTGAGGGGCCCAAAACTGATCCCAGTACTCGAGGTGTAGCTTCACCAGTGCCCAGTAGGGGGGGACGATCACACTCCTAGTGCTGCAGGCCACAGTAATTCTGATACAAACCAGGATGCTGTTGGCCCTCTTGGCTACCTCAGCATGCTGCTGGCTCATCTTCAGCTGGCTTTTGACCAACACCCCTAGGTCTTTCCTGCCAGGCAGCTTTCCAGTCACTCCTCCCCAAGCCTGCAGTGTTGCCTGGGGCTGTTGTGACCCAAGTGCAGGGCCTGACACTTAGCTTTGTTGAACCTCATACCATTGGCCTTGGCCCATCCAACCTGTCCAGATCCCTCTGTAGAGGCTCTTTATCCTCAAGCAGATAAACACTCCCACTCAGATTGGTGCCATCTGCAAATTTACTGAGGGTGCTCTTGATTCCCTTGTCCAGATCATTGATAAAGATATTAAACAGAGCTGGACCAAATACTGAGCCCAGGGAACACCACCTGTGACTGTCCATCAACTGGATTTAACTCCATTCGCCATAACTCTTTGGGCCTGGCCATGCAGCCAGTTTTTACCCAGCAAAGAGTATGCCCATGCAAGCCATAAGCAGCCAATTTGTCCAGGACAATGCTGTGGGAAATGGTGTCAAAAGCTCTACTTAAATCCAGGTAGACAACATCTACAGCCTTTCCCTCATCCAGTAAGTGGGTCACCTTGTCACAGAATGAGATCAGGTTAGTCAAACAGGACCTGCCTTTCATAAACTGGTCTGCTGACTGGATCTGATGGCCTGATTGTCCTATATATGGTATGTAATGGCACTCAGAATGATTTGCTCCATCATCTTCCCTGGCACCTAGGTCAGGCTGATAGGCCTGTGGTTCCCCTGATACTCCTTCTGGTCCTTCCTGTAGATAGGCATTACATTTGCTAGCCTCCAGTAAACCACATAACATGGAAGCAAGTTTGACCTAGCAGCTTCTTTGTTTCTCCACAGGCTATTGGAACATCATTGTCCATGGGCGAAAGCACTCCTACAGACTGTACACGAAGCTGTTGAATGAAGCTATGCGCTGGGCTTCTGCCATTCAAGGTGTCATTGACAGCAAAGTTCCCATAGAAACACCTACACAGCAACTCATTCGTGACATTAGGGTAGGTGGCATCATGCTAATTCCCAAGTTAGCTGGGAGCAGCCAGATCAACACTGGCCTTGTCGTTGCTGGTAATGTGGCAAGAAACAGGGATGGTGTCTTGGGGAGAAAATAAAAGGGAAAAAAAAGAAAGAAAAGAAACCTAAATTACCATCCAACTAAATAATGAAATCTTACCAGAATTTATTTTGAATTAGCATGTTAGCTGATTTGCATAAGTCTAGGCTACAACTGTGTCCAATTACAAATTGCACACGGGATTGCTCCATCAAGTATTTGCAAATCTGTTTCATCACTTCCTCTCCTAAGCGTTTCTGGACACAAATACAAAGATTTCCATTCCCACCAGCTATGTGACTTTGCTCTACTTTGAAGTCCTCTTCATATCTTAGACTTTTGTAGTAAAATAGCAGAGCAAAGGGTGGAAAGAAAATGTCCTTCAGAGTGGCAGAAATTGTGCCACCAGAGCAGAATTAATTTTTGAAAAGACTTCTTTTCAGAAACTGTGGCAAACTAAACGTAGAATCGTATTAGAAGACACGCAAAAGTATATTTCAGAAGAAATGTATGTGTAAACATGAGCTCTATGAGGTCTAAGCTAGATACGGTTAGATAGTAACTGTTCTGGAAGAAAGAGCTGGGAGTGACTGTGGAGGATCTTGGAAAACTTCGGCTCAAGGTTCCAGGACAAAAAGGAACATTAAGTATTGTTAGGGAAGAATATAGGACAAAATGTGGAAGAATGTGATGTCAGTGTGTGTGATATTGACAGGCCCAGCCTTTGAACACCATGTGCATTTTGATTGTTCATTCTTTAAGCACATGTAGTACAACCAGAAAAATTCAAGCAGGAACGGCTCGTTACTACACACTAAACATGGTGGATCTGTGGTTAGAAAGTCCATTAGTCATTTACTGTTGAAAGCTCGAAGGATATAGGTGGGAGGAATCATGCCACATCTGCCTGTTAGGTATCAGCTGCAAGCCACATTTGAAGTCAAGGTCCTGGGCTTGGTGACCTGTGGTATGACCCAGCATAGCTATTCTTGTTTAATTTTCAGAAATAATTTACAGAGTATTTTTTATATGTGAATTATGCTTTGGTCACCTAGACCTTCTGTCGCCCTCCAGAAACTTAAAACTTCAAAGCTTGAACATAAATACATGAGGACATCCTCATTTGAGGATTTTTTTTCCAGGAAAACAGCACCAACTTTGAAGTAGTGGAACAGACATACAGGAGGAACCCAATCCTGCGCTACACCCAGCACCCCTTACACTCCCCTTTGCTCCCGCTGCCGTATGGAGATGTCAGTGTCAACTGTAAGTACTCATGCGATGCGCTCACATTTTGTGGATCAATGTGAAACATAAGCACCACAAATAGTGGTCTGTAAGCTCTCTCTATGGAGCTGAAGCCCATGTATAGCCCACAGACTTCAGAGAGGGAGCGGTCCCTTTCTCTACCCAGAATATATTCTGTGTCCACTGCCTCATATCTTGGGAGCACTGAATCTCAGAGTAAGTGGGGGCAGACAGTTTATCATCCATCATCCTTGAGCTGCAACTGGGTTGCAGGTTACTGCAGTGGGAATCCTACTACAATACGAAAGAGCTAGACTATTTGATAGACCACCGGAAAACTGGTGTGATTTGCTGGTGATTCCAGACTTCTGGCACACTAAAACTGAAAGCTGCTGCTGAAGACTTACAGAAGAATTTCTAATGTATAGTGACTTGGCCACAAACTCTTTAGAAATTAATTTTAGTCTGGATATGGAAAGCAGTGTATACGGGAAATAGAATCTGCAACATAGGTAGTGATCTAATTCTGCTTAGGAAGGTGAACTCAATTTTACATTGCTTTATGAAAATGTCCACTCCTGTGCTGAGCATAGAAACAAGCCAGGTAATGCAAAGTTTTGAAAGGTCAGAAAAGGAGAGTCTTTATGTGGCTTTACTGATGCATCATGCACCTGCATCTTGAATATGGGATGCAGTTTGGCCTTCCACATATTAACCAAGGTACAGAGAAGTAAAAATGTACTCAAAGATGATCAGAGGCATACAAAGACTTGCCTGCAATTAAGAGACTAAATGGAGCAGAACTCTTTGGCCTGAAAAAGATTTTAGGGCTAGAGGACTGTCATGGAGAAAGTGAAAGGGGCGTAACCGCTCACTGTCTCTCATGATACAAGGATCAAATTAAGCAGCAGATTAAAAGCACAGAAAAAAAAATATTCTGAAATACAGAAACATTTCAGAGCAAGTACTTACACTGTGGAACCTACTGCTCCAGGGCTGTGTATTTGTATTGCACAATTAATGCATGACTACTGGGGAAGCAGTGGCTGAATAGGACGCTCAGAAGGACCTACAGCCCCAGAGATGTGCAAAGGAGAGTGCAAGCCTGCAGCAGTGTGGTAGTATCTCATCCTACAGAGCAATTCAAAGCAGACATTTAGGTGCTTGTCATAGTTACAGGGGCTGGGAC